TGCATCATGTGGGCTAATGAAGACGGGCAACGCCATGCAGGGTGCAATGAGAAAAATTTTGCCAGGACAGCGGCATTAACCTGCTCTTTTTCGAATTCTAACTGTCGAGGGATCTTTAACGTGCACATCCTGTAGCACACGGGCCTCGGTTTATTGTCCCATCCGAACAACTAGACGCTTTTTCCATGTCAGCCCCTCGTACCTGCATCACTGACAGGGGGAAACCGGGTTGAAAAATCCGAAGGTATCATCTCGACCTATGACGGTATTGAACCCTGGACCTTCAGGTCTAACTCACTGAGCCACCGCGGCTCCCTATTCGGAAATAAAACACATTGATTCGACCATCTAAACAGCATATAACGACCTGCATCAACATGATTGCCGATCTGTCACATGAGGTGACAAATGAGATGATTTAAATTCTCCTTCACTCGACCACGTGATGGCCTGGACCCAATACCGACAAAAAATTACTGTCATTAAAAGGACAGTTGTGCCATTTTAGTGGGTTTGTTTTAGTCTTGAATATATGTAAATAGTCTTCAGAAGTACTAGAAACTAGGAATTTTACCCAGTATTTCTATATATGTCTTTTCTATATATCACAGAGTATCTTAAAATGACGAGTCGTCATGTTAACTCGTCCTGTTAAACGCAGATAATTCTAGACACGCATGGAATTGAAGGCTCAAATTTCGACGGTGAGCTGATTGGCTTAGCTACAAAAATACCAATTTCCATCAAGATCGGATATTAACTTCTATTGCGTCTTCAAGCCAAAAACTACACCATTTTATTCTAACTCAGGATCTGTTCATCGAATTATTGCCAATTTCGAACTTCTCAGATATCATAAAGTACCCATTTAGACCAAGATTCACAAGATTCGGATAAAATGTGAAGCTTCTAGCGAGATTACCAATTTGGTTCATTTTTAAAGTCTCAGAAACGGTATTTTTAGCTCATTATCCAAATTTAAGCCTTCAAATCAGTGTGTGTCCAGAAATATCCACGTCTTTTCTTGAGACTCCGTCATATGTGTGAAATTGGTTGGATGGCATTATGAGTTTTTTGTGTCTTTTAAGTAGTTCTGGAGAATATTTACATCCAAGTCAAATCCCGAAAATGGCAAGCCATGGCCTTTAATAAGTCAAGGGCAATAAATCCATCTAATCTACAAGAAATGTGGTTGGAAGGAGAGGGGCGACAATTGGCCGCATTTAAAGGTTTGAATGTAAAACACAAATAATTGTAAAAAATATAAATTTAATACATGTATGTATGTAACAAATATTACAAGGTTCTTAAATAGAGCACTGTTATCTGAAATAAAAAAATAAATATATCAATGGTAAGGTTAATATACATCGTCGATTAAACCACGCCCCCTTGATGATAATCAGATAAGTCAATGTTCTCTTTATCCAAATAACTTAGTATGAAGAATGAGAGGTTGCCCGTATATTCGTGCGTAACGTGTGTGATTTTATTTACAAAACAAATCGTATATAGACTCGTGTTGATTGTTTCAATTGATCACATTTGAGTTATATCATAGCAGTATTTACCTTATTTGCCCATCATACCGTATCCGCCCATTCCACCGAGCATACCGCCCATCATACCGTATCCGCCCATTCCACCGAGCATACCGAGTCCACCATAACCCATCATCATTGGGTTGTACATACCACCCATCATACCCATACCTCCCATACCTCCCATCATACCAAGTCCTCCCATACCTCCCATCATACCAAGTCCTCCCATACCCATCATGTAGGGGTCCATCATACCCATACCTCCCATCATACCCATACCACCCATCATACCCATACCGCCCATCATTGGATTAAAAGCAAGGGTGGTAGCGGCGAAGGTCAAACATAAGGCGATGGTAAAGAGGGTGTTCATCTTGAATTCTGAAAATGAAAAAGAATAAAATCATTATCTACAATTTGAACCAAATACATGATATAAAGCCCGATAACACGTTTGAACTACAAACAAATCTGCATTGACACAACTAGAATCAGTTTGCGCAGCCAAATACCAAAATGTATTCATTAAAATTATTATATCAACTTACTAGTGTCGGCTGGTTGTGATGTTGATAGTTTGAAGAACAGAAGATTTGTGATATTTTTACCTTCAATACTGACTGTATTTATACACTAGTTTATAATATATATTATTACAACATCCAATTGAATTGAATAACCTGATTAAAACCATCACTCATTTTTCTCTCAACAATTATTTATTATTCAATTTACTAATTATTCTAAATCTATTTCTAATTAGGGCCACCCTCGGCTGTAAGGAATCAGGATGTAGTTCACATATCAGATACTATACGACGATCAATGGCCTTGATCATGATGTCAATTTACAAACGAAGACAAAACTTAGGGGAATTAGAATAAAATCTAAGAAAGTTTGAGTCTCATTGTAAAGAATTGTTGTTCTACTTTAAATCACTTGGGAGGGGATTTTAAATAATCTTAAGCAGTCTTAATAAATAGACAGTTTTTTTTTCAGCGTTTCCGCTTAGTACATATCAAACAGTGGCGTTTCTAGGAAATACCAAGTGAAGGAGCCGAGCCAGCGCCACAAAATATACATATTTATTTTTTGTATCCCCATATGTTAATGTTGGCATATAACGCCACCATCCTTGTTCGTCTGTCTGTACGACCACATTTCTTGAGGACACTATAGAAGTTTTTGAATTGTTGCCCTTGAGTTAAATGGCGTCAAATTTGAATTGTAGACAAACTAACTTATTTTATCCGCGTTTGATGAAACTTCGAGTGCATCAGTGTATATGCACCGATGGACAGACGGACAGGGGCGTCGACAGTATACGTCCACATGAGAATGCGTGCGTATAATACAATGCATTTTTTATTTAATCCATGGAAACAATCTAGAATTAACCTTATATTTCTATATTTTACAATTGTATTGAGTTAATAGGTAAGTGGCAGAATTATCACTCAATGGTTCTAAAACAATGGCAGTATTCTGATGACAGACTAGTGGTGAACGTCAAAGTTAAATTAACCTTTACGGAAACTGTCGAGAATTGCCGAATGAATATAACCATGCATGACAACCCCCACAAGTAATTTCTGTTTTTATTTGATTTTGTTATCCTTTATTGTTAAATTTATCGCTTTTTCGAATTCATGCTGTCTGACACACGACGGATGTGGATTTACAATCAGTTAGAATCAGCAACCTATAATTCGGCAATTCTCGGCAGTTTCTCGGTAATGAATGGTGAAATTCGTTGTGTCTTCTTGGGCGATAAACTTTATTTCCGACTTTTCACAATTATTTGTCAAGTGATAGTATTATTGCGACAGGAATATAGTCCCTAGATTTTTAGCTTTCAGGAAATAATTCTGACTCAAAATTATGTATTCTAATTTTAATGTAATGATCGGTTTAACATACGTGATATATCCTATTATCATTTTGGATCCCTATCCTACGAGGTTTTTTCATTGTCTTGTTTACTAATGCTCGAAGTCCTGAACGACCAGCCTCTGATATATAATTAACCAGAGTGACGTTATCACTTGATTGATATAGATATAGTTCCGGTAAATAGTGTCTGTCATTCATTTGTGTGATATGTTGCAAAGCTTTAGCAGAACCTTTACGGTACACCGTTTGCAACCTAGGTTTTTTCGTCGATTAACGACCAAAATAGGGTAATATTCCAGGCCCCATTTCATCGATTCGGCACGCAAACAAAGTGGTACTTTTTACTTGCCACAATAAATGGCACTTTTAATTCATAATGAGGTAAAAACCTCTTATTTTATAATAACATTATTCATTATTCAGAAATAAAACAGATTCGACCATCTAAACAGCATATAACGACCTGCATCAGGTGGCGCCTTCAACATGATTGTCCCTTTGAAATATCTATCAAATTATGTGACAAATGAGATCATATAAATTCCCTTTCACTTGACCACGTCAGAATCTGGACGCAATACTGACAAAAAATGACTGTCATTCAAAACCGTGACAAATATAGTGCTAGAGGAACTTTCAGGGTAGACCGTTTATTGAATACCAACTTTCATCAAAATCGGATAATAACTTCCACCGCGTCTTCAAGCCAAAATCTACACATTTTTTTTTAAGACAAGGACAATAACTCAAGAACTTTTCATCGAATTATTGCCCATTTCGAGCTTCTCAGATCTCATAACATACCCATTCAGACCAAGATTCACAAGATTCGGATAAAATATGAAGCTTCTATCGAGACTACAAGCTACCAATTTGGTTCGTTTTTAAAGGAATAGATTCGCCATCCGTTTAACCATCTGTACCTTAGTCTCTAAACTAATAATGCTCATTGTCCAAATTTTAGCCTTCAAATCAGTGTGTGTCCAGAAATATCCGCGTTTGAAAGTTAAAATGACGACTCGTCTTTTCATGAGACTCCGTTATATATGTGAATTATGAGATTTTCATGCATTTTTAGTAGTTCAGAAGAATATTTACATCTAATTCAACTCCCGAAAATGGCGAACTAAGGCCTTTAATAAATCAAGGGCAATAAATCCATCTAATCTTCAAGAAATGTGGTTGGAAGGAGAGGGGGCGGCAATTGGCCACATTTAAAGGTTTGAATGTAAAAAACAAATAATTGTAAAAAATATAAATTTAATACATGTATGTATGTAACAAATATTACAAGGTTCTTAAATAGAGCACTGTTATCTGAAATAAAAAATAAATATATCGATGGTAAGATTAATATACATCGTCGATTAAACCACGCCCCCTTGATGATAATCAGATAAGTCAATGTTCTCTTTATCCAAATAACTTAGTATGAAGAATGAGAGGTTGCCCGTATATTCGTGCGTAACGTGTGTGATTTTATATACAAAACAAATCGTATATAGGCGCGTGTTGATTGTTTAATTGATCACATTTGAGTTATATCATAGCAGTACGTACCTTATTTGCCCATCATACCGTACCCGCCCATTCCACCGAGCATACCGCCCATCATACCGTATCCGCCCATTCCACCGAGCATACCGAGTCCACCATAACCCATCATCATTGGGTTGTACATACCACCCATCATACCCATACCTCCCATACCTCCCATCATACCAAGTCCTCCCATACCTCCCATCATACCAAGTCCTCCCATGCCCATCATGTAGGGGTCCATCATACCCATACCTCCCATCATACCCATACCACCCATCATACCCATACCGCCCATCATTGGATTAAAAGCAAGGGTGGTAGCGGCGAAGGTCAAACATAAGGCGATGGTAAAGAGGGTGTTCATCTTGAATTCTGAAAATGAAAAAGAATAAAATCATTATCTACAATTTGAACCAAATACATGATATAAAGCCCGATAACACGTTTGAACTACAAACAAATCTGCATTGACACAACTAGAATCAGTTTGCGCAGCCAAATACCAAAATGTATTCATTAAAATTATTATATCAACTTACTAGTTTCGGCTGGTTGTGATGTTGATAGTTTGAAGAACAGAAGATTTGTGATATTTTTACCTTCAATACTGACTGTATTTATACACTAGTTTATAATATATATTATTACAACATCCAATTGAATTGAATAACCTGATTAAAACCATCACTCATTTTTCTCTCAACAATTATTGATTATTCAACTTACTAATTATTTTAAATCTATTTCTAAGTAGGGCCACCCTCGGCTGTAAGGAACCAGGATGTAGTTCACATATCAGATACTATATGTCGATCAATGGCCTTGATCATGATGTCAATTTACAAACGAAGACAAAACGTAGGGGAATTAAAATAAAAGCTAAGAAAGTTTCAGTCTCATTGTAAAGAATTGTTGTTCTACTTTAAATCACTTGGGAGGGGATTTTAAATAATCTTAAGTATATATAAAACGGTGACGATTCTAGGAAACACCAAGTGAAGGGGCCAAGCAGGGGCCACAAAATATATTTATTTATTTTTTGTATCCCCATATATGTTAATGTTGGCATATAACGCCACCACCGCTGTTCTGGAGGACAAGATAGAAGTTTTTGAATTGTTGCTTTTGAGTTAAATGGCGTCAAATTTGAATTGTAGACAAGCTAACTTATCTTATCCGGGTTTGATGAAACTTCGAGTGCATCAGTGTTTATTGATGAGATCTCGCATAAGCTCGAATTTTGCAATAATTGGTTAAAAGATTTTCTAGTTATTGCCCCTGACCTAAAAATAAAAAATGACTTGTAACGTCAGACAGTTTTATTCGATATTGGTGAAATTGTGTATGCATAGGCATATTGGTGACCATCTCGAAATTCCGAACTTGTTGCCTCTGTCGCGTTCACAAACCAAATGTGGACCGATGGACGACATGAGAATGCGTGCGTATAATACAATGCATTTTTTATTTAACCCATGGAAACAATCTAGAATTAACTTTATATTTCTATATTTTACAATTGTATTGAGTTAATAAGTAAGTGGCAGAATTATCACTCAATGGTTCTAAAACAATGGCAGTATTCCGATGAAGTGACAGACTACTGGTGAACGTCAAAGTAATGATAGAAGACACAGGAGACATAGTGATTCGTTACATTCATATCTGAGTTACATTAAGCTTTACGGAAACTGTCGAGGGTTGCCGAATGAATATAACCATGCATGACAACCCCCACAAGTAATTTCAGTTTTTATTTGATTTTGTTATCCTTTATTGTTAAATTTATCGCTGTGTCGAATTTGAACATATCTGAAGCAATGACCAAAATAACTGAAATATAAATGCACAGGGAAGCTTTAGTTTTAATTCATGCTGTCTGACACACGACGGATGTGGATTTACAATCAGTTAGATACAGCAACCTAGACATTCGACATTTCTCGGCAGTTTCTCGGTAATGAATGGTGAATTTCATTGTGTCTTCTTGGGCGATAAACTTTATATCCGGCTTTTCACAATTATTTGTTAAGTGATAGTAATATTGTGACCTGAATATCGAATACTAGCTTTCAGGGGATAATTCTGACTCAAAATTTTGTATTCTAATTTTAATGTAATGATCGGTTTAACAATGATATATTTTATTATCATTTTGGATCCTTATCCTACGAAGTTTTTTTTTAATTGGCTTTGCTGACAAATGCTAGTAGTCTTGAACGACCAGCCTCTGATATATAATTAATCAGGTGATAACGTGACAATACTGACATAGTTCCGGTAAATAATGTCTGCCATTCATTTGTGTGATATGTTGTAAAGCACTAACAGAACTTTTACGGTACACCGTTTGCAACTGAGGTAGAATCGGGTCATTCCAAACCCCGAAGCTGTGCACAAACAAAGTGGTACTGTTTATTGGCCACAATAAATTGCTCTTGTAATTCAATATATATTCAACATTCGAAACTTCAGTTCTAATTCTCATGCACAAAATACATATTCATTATTCAGAAATAAAACACAATAGATTCGACCATCTAAACAGCATAAAACGACCTGCATCGGGTGGCGCCTTCAACATGATTGCAATATGATTGAAATATCTATCAAAATATGTGACAAATGAGATGATATAAATTCCCTTTCACTCGACCACGTCAGAATCTGGACGCAATACTGACAAAAAATGACTGTCATTCAAAACTGTGATAAATATAGTGCTTATAGGGTAGACCGTTTGATGAATTCCAACTTTCATCAAAATTGAATTTCAACTTCCACCGCGTCTTCAAGCCAAAATCTACACATTTTTTTTAAGTCAAGGACAATAACTCAAGAACTTTCATCGAATTATTGCCCATTTTGATCTTCTCAGATCTCATAACATACCCATTCAGACCAAGATTCACAAGATTCGGATTAAAAGTGAAGCTTACCAATTTGGTTCGTTTTTAAAGGGATAGATTCGCCATCCGTTTAACCATCTGTACCTTTGTCTTAGAAACTTTAGCTAAACTAATAATGCGCATTGTCCAAATTTTAGCCTTCAAATCAGTGAGTGTCCAGAAAGTTAAAATGACGACTCATCTTTACATGAGACTCCGTTATATATGTGAAATCGATTGGATGGGATTATGAGATTTCCATGCATTTTTAGTAGCTCTGAAGAATATTTACATCTAATTCAACTCCTGAAAATGGCGAACTATGGCCTTTAATAAGTCAAGGGCAATAAATCCATCTAATCTACAAGAAATGTGGTTGGAAGGAGAGGGGGCGGCAATTGGCCACATTTAAAGGTTTGAATGTAAAAAACAAATAATTGTAGAAAATATAAATTTAATACATGTATGTATGTAACAAATATTACAAGGTTCTTGAATAGAGCACTGTTATCTGAAATAAAAAAATAAATATATCAATGGTAAGGTTAATATACATCGTCGATTAAACCACGCCCCCTTGATGATAATCAGATAAGTCAATGTTCTCTTTATCCAAATAACTTAGTATGAAGAATGAGAGGTTGCCCGTATATTCGTGCGTAACGTGTGTGATTTTATTTACAAATCAAATCGTATATAGACACGTGCTGCAGTACGTACCTTATTTTCCCATCATACCGTATCCGCCCATTCCACCGAGCATACCGCCCATCATACCGTATCCGCCCATTCCACCGAGCATACCGAGTCCACCATAACCCATCATCATTGGGTTGTACATACCACCCATCATACCCATACCTCCCATACCTCCCATCATACCAAGTCCTCCCATACCTCCCATCATACCAAGTCCTCCCATACCCATCATGTAGGGGTCCATCATACCCATACCTCCCATCATACCCATACCGCCTATCATTGGATTAAAAGCAAGGGTGGTGGCGGCGAAGGTCAAACATAAGGCGATGGTAAAGAGGGTGTTCATCTTGAATTCTGGAAATGAAAAAGAATAAAATCATTATCTACAATTTGAACCAAATACATGATATAAAGTATGACTGCCGGATAACACGTTTGAACTACAAACAAATCTGCATTGACACAACTAGAATCAGTTTGCGCAGCCAAATACCAAAATGTATTTATTAAAATTATTATATCAACAACCAAATACCAAAATGTATTCATTAAAATTATTATATCAACAGCCAAATACCAAAATGTATTCATTAAAATTATTATATCAACTTACTAGTTTCGGCTGGTTGTGATGTTGATAGTTTGAAGAACAGAAGATTTGTGATATTTTTACCTTCAATACTGACTGTATTTATACACTAGTTTATAATATATATTATTACAACATCCAATTGAATTGAATAACCTGATTAAAACCATCACTCATTTTTCTCTCAACAATTATTTATTATTCAATTTACTAATTATTTTAAATCTATTTCTAAGTAGGGTCACCTTCGGCTGTAAGGAACCAGGATGTAGTTCACATATCAGATACTATACGTCGGTCAATGGCCTTGGGGGAAGATATCAATTTTCAAACGAAAACAAAACGTAGGGGAATTTATAGACCATAAAATTTAGAAAGTTTGTGCCACAACGTCGAGAAATCTTTTCGATTTTTAAGGGAGTGGGGAAAGAATACAAGTAATAACAAATTTGAATAACTGTCTTCAACGGACTGGTTCGTCGTTCGTTTGACCATTTGTACTTTAGTCTCAGAAACGGAAATTTTCAGCTAAGCTAGACATTAATAGTGTTCACAACTCACACTCAAAAACCAGGATCAATTTGGAGCGAGAAGTTAAGAGATTTAGACAGGTCTGGGATGGTAGAAAACTCAGACCTTCCAAACTTGGAACAATAACATTTATAATTAAACAAAGTAACTCACGCAATCTCTAACAATAAGTGGAAATTTCAGTTGTAATTGATTTGGCTGCTTTCGATAATCATATCCTGGTCAACTCCTTTACAAAGTTCCCAAGAGACTACTCTTCAACTTTCAAAGCACTTCCTAGCTGAGTTCGTCTGGAAATCGAGGGGAAGTAATTACACATGAGAAAAAAAGTAGAACTCTATTTTAAATAGAATATGTTCCATGATTCTGTTAGGTGGCATATTGAACCGGAAACAAGAAGAAGGCTGCCAGTCACGCTAGTTTATTTTGACTGATATTTTCGTTTCAATTAATTTCAGGATCTCTAAAGAAAATATTCTCAACAGGGACCGTCGTACTGAGAAAAACGAATTA